ACTAATAATAAATATAAAAAACCAACTTTCTAATTTAACTGAACACAACAGATTTACTTGGAACTAGTATACATATTTAATTATAACAATTACAAAATAACCTATAGTCTATTACTAATATCTTACAACATTTATATTCACTAATAGATAGCTCAAATAAAAATACAACAACATAATAAATAATAATACTATTACTACATTTACAATTTACTATCTCTGCATACACAACACTACTACATATACTACAATATCTATATATACCAATTGAAAATATTCTTAAAATATATAAAAACTATAACAACTTTAAAAAACAATTACTAATTAAACATATGGGGGAGAGTTAATAGAAAAAATACAAATTTTTTCTAAGTAAAAGTTTTCTTGACTTTAAGCTTAAATATCTTAACAACTATTTTATTAAATTTGATAATTTTTTTTTATTTTAATTCTATATAATTTCATGATTAAAATAAAAAAATTTTTAGCAGATTTAATTAAATAGTTGTTGAGTTATTTAAATTTAAAAATTAAAAAAATTTTACTAAAAATGATTTGTCTTTTTTCTATTAACTCCCTCCCTATATTCTTTACCTTGAACAATTAATCTCATCTAATAACTCTATACTTTTAGATTAAAAACACATTTTACTTAGACTCAAACAAATCTCTACAGAACATAAACCAAAATAGTTTACCATATTAGAGACAAAATTATTACACATTCTCTTACTAGAAAACTCATCTCTAATCTGAGTCTTTTACAAACTAACTCCTTATCTTTTACAACTAGACATTACAATTCAAAATTAAAACCTTGGCTTATTACTGTTGATTACAATAGTGAACAATTAATAATAGAAAAGGCATGCAAATATAACCAAAACAATAACACTATATTCATTACATACTGAACAATTGAAGCAAATGCATCTAACACAAACCTTTATCTATTCTTATCAATCAATTGTATATTATATACTGGATGCTTACATAACTCTAACAAAATACTAAACCACTGTACATTTGATATTTCTGCTACTTTTTCTACAAAATTTAGGAAAAAAACAACAAAATTCTACAAACAAACTTAAGTTTAATGCAAATTATACAGATCTTATATACTTAATTGCATTATGCAACCCTACTAGAATTCCTATATTTCTATTTATTATCTTATCACAAGATTTAATCTTTTTCATTTTTTATACTAATTCATCTTCTATTAAATTACAATAAATTGCAAACCAAAATATTCAATATACCAACTTTACTTTTTATACTAATGGATCAGTTACTAATATTACTACTGATAGATGTTTAATAAATATTGGATAGATACAAATACATAACAATACTATTATTAAAACTTACTTTTCTTGAATCAAATTCTGAACATCATCATATAAAGCTAAGCTAATAGCTATTTTATCAGCTATATGCATATGCCCTCAAAACAGCAATATTCAAATTTATACTAACTCACAATCTGTAATTTCTAAATTTAACAAAATTACTAACAACATAATACTATAGCACAAACAATATTTTTATAACTATTGGCCAATATAGCATACAATTATTAATTTAATTAGATTATACAAATATAACATTATACTTTACAAAATACTAGCTCATAAAGACAACATATTCAATAATAAAGCAGATAAGCTCACATCAAACCACAACTCAATAAATTTTCTGAATATATGATACAACAATATTTATAATACTTCATATACTATACAATATAACTAATATACTATTGAACAACCTACTCAATGAGTAATTAAAAATATTTGCAATACATACATAATAGTTATGTGGTCATCTCAAAATTGGATAAACAACATTATTTCTCTATCCTTACAAATTAACTAAAAAGCAACCTGGCTATACCTAAATAACAACATTAACAGAACTAGCTTATATACAAACTTTATACTTAGCAATAATAAATTTTTTAAAATTAAATTACAACTTAACATACTACCTACTCTTTTTTATCTTCACAACTTATATTCAGAAGCAATAACTAGCAATAGTTGTATTATATGCTGTATATCAGAACACTTATTACATTAGATTCTTTGTTTAAATTCTACACTCCTTACTAATCTTATTCAAAAAACAATAACAGAAACAATTACTTATATAACTAATATTACTAACACTCAAATTAATGAACTACAAGAAATATTTTCACAACACAATAGCCTTTTTTTTAATAACATAATTTTACAACAAACTAACATTTACATAACATTATAAGGATATGTACCTATTAGTCCTATTTTATCAATTAGACTATTTACTCAATCACAAATGAAAACAAATATATCATTACAAAACTCTCATATAAACTGTTTCAAAAAGTTTACTAACAAATATAAAAACCATATTGTACAAAACTGGCATAATGGAAAAATGATAACAATATTCTACAGTATACCAAAAATTAACAAAGAAGACCTATACAAACTAACTATAATGATATATACTATATTAACAGACATTAATTATATAGTACAACTTGCAATTTATATGAACTATTAAGTTAAAATATGTTGATTCAAATACTTGCCTACCACTTGGTTGTACTTTATATAAAATTAATTTATAACTTGACCATTAGATACTTTATAACTACCCTATAAACAACATTTTATACTTTCAAATCTAGATAAGTTTTAACTACTCTAATAGGTTTAGGTTGCAAATAAATTAGATAGATAACAGTTAGTTTCTTTTTATAATCTAAGCTTTACTTTTATAACAAATTTATAATTGGAATAAATTTTGTAATTTATATCCAGAAAAGCTTCTAGAGGCATCTTTAACAAATTAATAAAGATATGAGCAAAACCTTATCTTAATTCTCAAAAAAAAAAAATATAAATATAAAAAATAAATTCTTCAAAAATCTGAACTACTAACTTTCTAATCTATTTAAATCCAAACAAACTATGTTACTAAAACAGCTATACATCATATATATATTTAAACCAATTTGAAAAAATATAAAATTCTTAATTGAAAAATAATTTATAATATTTACAACCTAACTTTTTATTATTTTAAACAATCTTTTAATATATATCTATTCAACATTATAAATATCTACCTTTAAATCCTTTTATACTCATATCAGCAACATTCTATATATCTTTATCTTTTAAAGATCTCTATAATCTAGCTAATTAATCTGAACAAAACTTTATTTAACTAAACAATACATCTACTAATTTAAAACATATATTTTATTAGTTTTATTATTATTTTAAAACTTATTTCAAATCTGTAATAATAAACAATAAAATTATTAATCTCAATCTTAAAGAAGCTCTAAATAAAATCTTCTTTTAAACAAGTAATCTACAAATTCTAATCAGAATCATTGTCTACTATAACATTATTCAAATCTCTAAACTAATTATTACTCAGTTTAAAATAATCTTAATAAATTATATTTTGATCAAACAAACCAATATATTATTAAAAAACTTAATATTATTATATACACAATATTAGAAACTAACTTTATTTATATCTTTAATATATCTAAAATCATCAACAAACTCAATAATAGTCTTTTCTTCTAACTATATTATTATATTTCAGTTAACTTTTTTTTTATTTATTTACCTATTCAATTTATACTATTTTTCTTAATTACACTCTTATAATTCTGTTAACTTTCTTTATCTATTTGTTTATTTAATTAATATTACTTTTTATCTTTTTAATTATATTTTATTTTATATTTAATTTATTTTTTGTTTTTTTTTCTTTATAGTGATATAATTAATTTTTGATAGTGTAAATAGTTAGTGAAGTCTATAAGTAACTTACTAGTATATACTAAAATAATAAACATTATTTAAAAAATTTTAACTAATTTAAATGAGTCTTAGTTACTCTAGTAGGTTTAAACTGCAAATAAATATGTCTGAGCTTTTATTCTTGTATATAACATTTTTAATACTTAAAATTATAATTTTATAGTTAACAACTTAATGGTTAACTCTGACTGCAAGGTTAGTCTTAATTATAACATATATAGAACTTCTTTTTATACCTAGTAAACTTTATATAGTTACTACTTAATGACTACAAATAAAGATATGAGCAAGACTTCACCTTAATACCAAAAAAAAAATATATATAATTCTAATTATTATATTATGAATATTAAGATTTAATTGTATTTAATTTGAGTGCTATTATATCTAAATTTGATTGCTTTAATGTTCAAATTTGATGGTTAATTTGTTTAAAATAGATGACCATCAAAATCAATAATTACATTTTTTTTTTGGAGACATGTTTTTTGATCATGTTTATCAGGTTCGATGAATACATTATTGATAAAGGTGTATGAAATTGGTATGCAAAACCTATAAATATATATATATTTACATAATAAGAAAGTCATAGGCAGAAGTTTGTCTGATTGGTTAATAAATTCAATTGAATTTTATATTATTTATACAGTTTAGAGTACTTTTTAAAAAAAACGAAAACTAACCATAATAAAGTGAAAAAAAACCATATAGAAGGTTTCATTAGAACTGTAGGACTTCATAGCCAAAAATAAGATCTAATTCTTGCTGTTTAAAAAAGTTAGTATAGTAATAACTTCTCAAAACCCGATAAAATCAACTTATTACTAAGTTAATTTTTTAAACAGACGAGAATTAGATCTTATTTTTGACTATGGAGTCCTACAGCTCTTATGTTTTTTTTTTACTTTATTATGGTTAGTTTTCGTTTTTTTAAAAAAGTACTCTAAACTGTATAAATAATATAAAATTAAATTGAATTTATTAGCCAATTAGATGAACTTCTGTCTATGAGTAAGAAAGTAATATTTCGATCTTACAAATTTAGATTATAGTTTAAGCAATAATTTAAGTCAGCTTAAGCCATAGCGATAGCTTAACTAGTTTAAGCCGTAGCTTAAACTATAGCTTAATTAATTTAAACCATGGCTTATATTGTAGCTAAGCCAAGCTAATCAAGCTGATTGCATCACTACTGTGGTGTTGAAAACCATTGTGCATTTTAGTAAACTCGAAAAAAAAACATATAATAGATGCAAAGCTGTGAGAGGTATGTTTTATAATAAGTATATATTAAATAGATAAATAACACCTTAATTATAATATTATTATACTTCAAATTAATAGAAGGTATTTATAATATTTATCAACAAATTTATATCCTTTTATCTTGTTATTTATAAAAAAATAAATTGCAGCAATATTATCAATACGGATATTTACTTCGTTTTTTAACCTATTGATTAATCCTAAAATTCTCAAACTCTGAATCGATTTCTCTTGTATCAATAAGTTTAGAAGTATACATCGTATTATCATGTTTTTGCGAAGTAATTGGCAATTCTTTGATTGATTTATCAGCTTCTAAAAATTGCTGTTTGATTTCTTTATCTGAATCAATACATTGTTTGTCTAATTTAATATCACTATCATTAACGGCTGTAATTTTTTTCCATTTTTTAAGTTTGTTAAAAAGCCTAACTGCCTTAAATCTGGTTTTCATATATGATTTAACATTGTTATCGTTGGCAACTATAATGTTTTTCCAATCTTCAAGCTTATTAATAATCTCAACAGCCGTAGGTCTTTTTTTCATGTCTGAGTTAATACATTGTTTGGCTAATTTAACATAACATTTAGGTGTTCTTATGATAAATTCAGGTCGTAATCCATGACAAATCATCGCCGCTAATTCAGCATCAAAATTGTAACCATCGAAAGGTCTTTGGCCAGTTAATATTTCAATCATAATAATTCCGAAACTGTAAATATCAGCGGCTTGAGTGAACTGTTCTCCTTTCAAGACTTCAGGTGCTAAATATGGCAAAACACCATAAATATGAGCATCCTGTTTTTCATCAAACGATATTGACGAACCTAAATCAATATAGGCTTCATATCGTTTTTTAAATAATATGTTACCAGAATGTAAATTTCGATGTATAAAGTTTTTAGAATGAATATTTGATAAATCATTAACAATATCGTATAATATTTTTAGTTTAATTTTCCATTCCAATTTAAATATATCTTTAAGATTTTCACGCAATGATCCAAATTTTGCGTAATTTAACACTAAAATAAAATCCCCTGTATTTTTATCCATTGATATGCCATTATATTTATCAAATTCATGATACGCTTTTAACTAAAAATAATAAATTGCAATTAATTTATAAATAATAATATAAAATTATGAGTAAAAAGAAATACCTCGTTTAAAAAAAGCTTTTTATTTTTATGTGAATCTTTAATTATCTTGATTGCAACTTCTCCATATGTTTCATATGATGTTTTATACACTACGGAAAACCCTCCTCTACCTATTTCTTCAATATTTCTAAAGTTATCGTATTCTATCCAACGGAAATAATTATTAGATCTACAGTTATGTTCTGTAGCAGCAGATTTTAAATACCATTCAAAAGCCAAATCTTTATTCTTTTCTACACCAATCCCATACTGATAACACCAACCAACACTATACATTCCACAACAACTTCCATGTTCGGTACTTTTTAAATAGTATTCAAAAGCCTTTTGTTCATCTCTTTCAACTCCAATTCCATTTCGATAACAGTATCCAACATTATGTATCCCACCAGCGCTCCCCATCTCTGCAGATTTTTGAAAATGAATGAATGCTTTATGTTCATCCTTTACAACACCAATTCCTTTAAGATAACAATAACCAACATTATAAATTCCACCAGCGTGTTCCATCTCTGCAGATTCTTGATAATAAGTGAATGCCTTATGTTCATTCTTTTCAACTCCATTTCCATATAAATGACAGTTACCGAGTTCCAATATTCCTCTCACGTCCCCCATCTCTGCAGATTTTTGATAATAAATGAATGACTTATGTTTATTCATTTCAACCCATTTACCATTACGATAACAAATTGCAAGAATGATTTGAGTCATAGGATCAGAATGATTATCTAAACAATATTTGATAACATTATTCGGATTTTGCTTTTTTTCAACTAGAAATCGTTCTAAGGTGTCAGAAATTGAAAGTGAACTCTTGACTTTAAATAATTCGGCATTATACAAATCATACATTTCTTTAATAATTTCATGAAGAAAATCCTGTGAGCTATCTTCTAGATATAATTGGTTAAATTCGTTGGACATTTTAGTAACATCTAATAGATTGTCGATATTTTCTGGTTGGTTTGCAATTGACATTTTGACGCAAAGAATATGTTATAAATAAGCTATTGAGGATATTTATGTATTACATTGTGTAACGTAATTACGTACGTACGTATGTACGTAATTCGGGAAATTGTGTAACAATAAACAATATCATTGAAACATTCAATGGATGCCAAAAATTAGCAGATATGAACGATTCAGACGGAATTTATTGTCTTGGTTATTGTTACGAAGATGGAATTGGAGTCGAAAAGGATGAAAACAGAGCTTTCATTTATTATCAAAAAGTTCATAAGTAAAGAAAATAAATACTTATTTACCATTACCTAATACCTTTCAAATCATTTCATTTGCATTAATCATTTATATATTCATATTAATTTAGTTAGTGAATATGAAGAACATTTATTAATCATTGGAATTAAAAACAACTTCATAAATCAAGAACATAAATACTTATTTTAAATCATTTCATTTGCATTAATTTAGTCAGTAAGTATAGAAGTTATTGAAAGTTTAACATAACATAGCAGGTGAAATAAATACTGTACATCATATACTATAATTCTAAAGCGACTCTAAATATGGAAAATGTGCACATTGCAATGAAGATAATATGCGACTCTGAGATTGATGATTGCATGAAAATATTTCAACTTAGAACCTGGGGATATGAACAAATGATTGAGTGGATTCCATATGACAGATTAATTAATACTGAAAAAATAGGCGAAGGAGGATTTGGCTCGGTATATTCAGCAATCTGGTTGGGCGGTATACGAAAAATTGATGGCAATGATTATAATTATTCAAGATCACAAGAATCAAATAGTATCGTTGCACTCAAAACTCTTGTCTGTAGTAGTTTGTGTAAAAGACGGAAAATGATAGGTACTTCTTGATTTTCATAAAAATGGATGTTAATTATTCAATTTCAAATTTTTTTTTTTTCTTTTAAAAAAAAAGATTTATTAAGGAATATATTTGGGTATTAATCGATTAAGCAACTTGTTGCAAAAAAATTAAATTCATTTTTTGAGCAATTTGTTCCCACCTACGAAATATTACGTTCATTAGATAAGAACTTGAAGAGATTTAGCTAGAGGAAATACGATGAATTAAAAGGAATTAAGAAAAATAAAAAATAAATTCCGAGAATTTCATTAATTCTAATGCAATAAACAAATAGAATAAAAATAAATACAGTTGATACAATACCGAAACCGTCAAATACCCATCTATAAGGAGAAGCATTATACATAAAAATAAAGCATATAAACTAAACTAAAAGTAGAAGCGGTCAATAATAAAACAAAACCCTATAATGATTTCTGTAAAAGGTCTTTTAAATCCGCAAATAAATCCACGTTCTAAATCGTGTTTACTTAAAATAGTTATCTGAGATTCACCAGTTGAAAGTGATACCTTCGAGCTAAAGGATTGATCAATTTATTAAGTAGCATCATGTTTTTCACGATATGTTCATTCTCTTTATGACTATTCGTCATAGAAAATAGATCAAGATTTGGTGCAATTATCCAACGACCAGAATAATACCACGCCTACCAACGGCTCCTCTTAATTCAGTATTAAATGTTGCTTCCATGTATTGTCTTGAAATTGTTTGATTGTATGTACCTTTTGTGAATACTATTATTATAAGCTTAGATAAGCATTTACAATTTGGCAAAAATTTCTTTTTGAGCTTTAGACATTCTGTTTGACTCTTAAAAAAAGAAATTATAATAAGCAATAATTAATAATTTAGTAAATAATTTTAATTAAAAAACACAAAAGATATATCTAAGCAATTAAGGAAATTATAATTTAAACATTTAAACACGAAGCTGAAACCAATAAAATTAAAACAATTTAAGGTACTGATTCATCAATTTGTTATATAATATCAAGACTTAATTGACCAGATGATGGTATTAAACCCAGAGTATCAAATAAAAGATAATCTATTCCATTTATTTTAATTGGATTTCACCTGGTTTCTAAAGTTAATAAATAAAAAAAGTTTATGAATGACATTGAATGAAATCAGATAAAACATACTAAAAATATTTAAAAAGAATGCTAAGATACTGTAAGTGGACTATCATATTATCCACAGTACTTTTTCCAACACCTATTGGAAAAGATAAAATTTATATATTAGAAAGGCTTTTTTTAAAGAAATTTTTTAAAAGCAAACTTTTTAAAAGCAAACATTTAAAAGCAAACATTAGTAATGAAAATTAAACATTTAATAACTTATAGAAATACCAACTTCTCCTATTATAAGAATTTCAGGAAATCTTTGCTGTTTCTCAGATGGTTCATTTTCATTAGATTCGCCAGACACAACTCAATTTCAAATTCACGCCCATTCGAATTTCACGCGCAACATATATAGATTAATATCACGTCAGACGCCAGCTACATCATGATTATTTGACCAAAATTAACAAATCAGCCTAAACTATAACCTAATCCTGGACCTCAGGCCAAAACGACATATGACATAAGCGTTAATTTGAGGCACAAATATATATAATCTATATACAGTCAGACCTCTCTAAATGCATAGCCGTGAGGCGGCCAAAAATCTTGCATTTAGAGAGGTATTGCATTTAGGGAGGTAAAAGTCTATAAGTGTCATATGAGTTGGAGATAAACAAGGCCATTTATTTAGAGAGGTCTTTCATAGACTATGCATTTAAGGAATATGCATTTAGGGAGGTCTGACTGTATATATATATAGCGTATTTTTGTATATATTATGCATATAGTCTAGCATCTAGTTCCTTCTAAAGTACATATAAAAATGGTATATAATTACGAGGATAATTATTTGATTCAAAAAATAAATAGTTAAAGTACGTATTGTACTGTATAAAAAAAAACCGGAAAGATCAAAGTACTACGAGCCATAAATAACAAAAACCCAGTATACGCATAACCACAACAATCCAAAAAAATTGAATAGTGGTAAATATCAAAAAATATCCGAAAATCCATATCGATATCTAAACTATGCCAGCATCCATATATGCGTACAATAGTAATATAAGTATATTATATCGATTTCATACTAACAATACAAAAATTGGACTTTGATCTAAACTGTACTAGAGTTGCATTGTTTTCATTATAATTACTTAATATAAAAAATAATTCCTGACTAAAATACCACGTATTCTTGCTTAGATTTAGAGGTCAATTACCATGAAATAAATCTTGCGGTTTGATCAGTTTTGAATTAGATTATTTATAAGTGTTAAGGCCCGGCAAAATCATGTCTTTCACTACCTGATACTCAGTAAAAAATTACGTGTGACATGCTATAAATAAAATTGTTATCTAATCACTTTTATAATTTCTATTAATAACAATATAAGCTGTATTATCATGTAGAGTCATGACATTAGTTTCGCTGAACAATACAGCAAATCAATATTATTTATTTATTTTCGTTAAAAAAATTTAAATAAAAATTTAAAGAGCATATAAAATTATAAAAAAAATTGTACAATATGCCTCGCCATTATAGTAATCATCGTCTTACTCGCGGCCAAGTTAATGGATCTTCTGATCCTTTGTATGAAGCTCTACTGAATGTCCAGGATGAAAATAGACGGTAATTATAATATTTTAATAATGATTTTATAGTTATAAATATTTAATTTCACTTACAACTCCAGACATGTCCGTCGTATTCGTCAACTCGAAAACCGTGTTCGAGACTTAGAGCGGGAATTAGAAAGTATGAGAGAAGACCGTGATTCTTGGATGGAGAGAGTAACTTCTAATGTTGCTGACAATTACTTTAATGAAAGTCGGTATGATCGTATTCGGCGGGAGAGAGATTCATTACGAGCTCGACTTCAAAATTTAGTCGATGATAATTCCAGATATAATAATTATTATAATAACAATAATAATAACGATAACGATAACAATCACGGCCCTTCTCGAATCACTTTCGCATAATCTTTATTTAGGCTTTTCATGAATATTTCTTATCTTAATAGTTATAAATAATATCACTTATTATCATGACATAGTTGCTACAATTGCCTTATTTAACATTTTAGAGTCTTTATTAAAAGAAAAAATTACGTATTAACGTTAAAGCCTTGTAATTTTGGCTTTATCATCCTTAATAATGATGTAAACGGTTAGTTCGGCTCGGCTCGGCTCATGGCTTTTTATAGCTGTCTTCATAAATTCTGTGACATTTGAAAATTTTTCCAATTACCATATCGATAACTTACTGAGCTTGAATTAATTAACTACCAACGTCAGCATACATCATCAACTTTATCGATTCGGTCCCAAAATTTATGAAAACGGCTGTAATCGATCCTTCGCTGAGTTTAACTATTTGTAAGCTGACTTACCTTAAACCGAGCTGTGCCGTAGAAATAGAAAAGGTATCATGTGAATTTTAACCTATCATATTTTAAAGAACAGGTGTAACATTATTATCAAAGGAAATATCCTACGTATACTAGGGTGAGGTGTAAGCTAAGAAATAAAAACTACCATAAAATTTCTTACATCACGGATTTTTGTTATACGACCAGCAATATATTCAATACTGTAAATTTAACATAACTAGTGCGATGAGTGGTGCTTCGCGTCACCCATCTTATTCAGTAATTTAATAGCATATTTTAAGTAATTTAACAGTCCAATGAAAAAAATGAAAAATGCTAAATATCAGGTAAATAAACCAATCTTTGTGTTTGAAATTCCTTTTTTACTATCGTTAGTTATCACAACTACGACATCGTTTACGTTTGCATTTTTTGTATTCAAGTTATACTCTGTAATTACGTATCCGAATGCACGTGTATATCCGTGTGATGAACTCATGTGTGAAAAACAACCAAAATTCGAAATTCTTTTCATGCCCGCACCTGATTTTTGAGATTATCTGATTGGCTAGATGCAATAATTATGGGGCATGAAAATAATTTTCGATGAATAAGTCACGCGGACCAATCAAACTTAAGATTTCGTGCACATAAACCACTTATTTCACCTTATAAGCCACTCCGTTCCTGGTATTAATATTTTTATTTATTTCGATATATATGGCAAATCACGCATCAATTTGATTGACTAATTTCGTCGATCATCATTACACGAATTTAATAAAAAAAATAAATAAAATTTCGAACTTTTTATATTTTTACTATTATAAAAATAGACGGCTCAGTCTTTTCAGAAGTCTTAGAATATTCGTCAAGTTTTGACTTTCCATAGAGTTTCACAATTTCTACAGAGTTTTGTCAATCTCACCTTTTACTGGGTTTAGTTTCATCTTTCGTCATTTGCCAAAAATAGTTTTACCTGTCAACACTACTCCCAACTGGTTCAAGTGCTTCTCTTTAAGGTTGAAAGTCAATTTAACAAAAGAAAGTTAAAATCTTAGGAATGAATGTTGTATAACAAAATGTAATAATATTTATTTGAGTTAGCATTAGACATGGTGAAATAAAGGGAGTTACTAATTAGTTTAAATTTTATAAGAATTTTCTATATTATGACATTACAGCATTGCAACATTATAATATTATGATATTATGACATTACAGCATTGCAACATTATGGTATTATGATATTATGACATCAAATTAGTTAGAAAAATATCATAATCATGTAAAACTTAACAAAGTAACTTACTATTTAATTTATTACTATTTAATTTATTACTATATTTTTTATAATATAAGTTGTTTTGAAATTTTACTCATATGATTATGATCACAATTGTATATATAACATGAAAACATCTAATAAATTGATTTTCTGCTTAAATAATAGACACAGATATAAAGCAAGAAAGAGAAATAACTGTTAAAGATATACTTAGAAAAGAGTGTATTGTGAATTCCCAATTCAATGAAAGAAGCAAACTTCTTTTATAAAAGAAATTCAAGCTGAACAAGGAAGTTATTGTGTTTTATTACATAACTTTAAGAAAGATAATGAACTTGTAGTCAACACAAAGATGCTCTGGAAAAGTTTGAAGTTAAGTATTGGTTTTTCTTAATAATATGATATTCTGACATTACTCAGACAAGAGCATCTGAAGTTTGTTCTTGTAATCAGATAAAGTTTAGTCAATCATAACTATTACACAATAATGACTAATACATTTTTTAAAGATACTAATATATATTTTTTTTAAGATAGAAACAAAAACATTGGATGTAACCAATTTTTGAAAGAATATTCAAATCTTAGAAGAGAAAAAAATTGTAGTTCGATCTACTTTATTAGGATATCTTAATATATTTATAAAAACAGTTAAAAGTTAAAATAGAATATTTATAGAATGATCAAAATTGTATTTATTTATTCTAATACTTATTTCTGTTAATAATTTACTCAATATGCAAATATGTAAGAAATATTAATTAAAATACAAATTTACTAATTCATCATTGTAAACTAGAAATGCAACAAGAATTTCAAAAATTTGATACAAAGTTCGATAATAATATAGAGTAATATATTTGATTTAAATTATTAACTATTACTACAATATTATTATTATTAAACATTCTTATATAATTATTAATGAATTATAATAAAATTCAAGTCACTTCTTCATTATAGATACTGAAAAATTAAAAATTTCAAGAATTATTTAATGATAAGTAGAAAGTAACATTTAATAGTAAATGATGCTAATTTGTAAAAAATTTTTAAAAAGTACTGTGATGAATGTGAAGATGAATTTGAATAAGTAAAATTAGTTCCTGTAATTATATAAACTAATTTTACTTATTATTTTTGTTATTAGTTTATGCCATAGTGATATTATAGATTTGAAACTTGTACTACACCTCCTAGTGAATAGTATATGAAAAGGTCATGTTATATCATTTATCTAATTCAGTTATATTTACAATAAACATTTATTACAGTATTTTTTAAATTACTATTATCATCTACAAAAATTTTGAAAAAATTTGATAATATTTATAAATAAATCTAATTAACTTATTTGCAATCTATTATATTCAATTCTTATTATCATTTCTTATACTTGTAGTTAGTCTTGCAAAATTAATATCAAGGTTTCTGGTTTCTTTTTTTTTATTAATTGGAATTTTTTGTTATTGTTTAGCCTGGCAATTTGCTAATTTTAGTATACTAGTAGAGATAATGCTAAAGAATAAAAATATAGTAGTAAGTTATTGAAATTTTTATTTTCAGATAGATTAATTAGATTTATTCATTAAAAGATGGCAATTTTCTGTGATAAATAATTATCTGAAAAGTACTATAATTAATTATTTAAGGTAAATTATTCAAGTTCATAGATAGAATTCTTGTTATTTAATAAATTATCTTATAGATACAATGTAACAACTAGTGCAACATATTAAACTAGACTTAATAATTTTTAGATTGATTTACTTTTAACTTTATCAATCTTTTTCCTTCCAAGAATGTAGAAAACATTAACAAATATTTTTTATTAACAGCCTTATTTAATGCCATCAATATTAAAGAAAAAAACTTTTACAAAATTAACAATCATCAGCAAAACCATTACTATGACCATTACATAAACCATTGGGATATATGATATAATATGTAAATTAAAACCAGGTGTGGTATTATATTAAAACCCAATATCTAAAATTTTATATGAAATACTATTTTATTTCAAAATTCAAATATATGTTTAACCTTAATAGTTTAATATTTTAGGATAAAATTTTGCAAAAATAAATATTATAATATTATAAGCAAAGTTACAAAACTATATCTTTTAAATTTGAAGAATTTAAAAGTTTGCTAAACTAAATCTTTTATTTTATATTTAAAAAAGAAAAACCATCATGGCTTTACTTATAAAACTATAGTTTTAGTCTTTGCAAATTTTGTCTTAAGCTATCAAATTATTAGAACTGTGTATCTATTTAAATTTGTCAAAAAATTAAAAGCAAATTTGTATAGCAAAAATACAATTCTTGATGAATTGGTAGTATTGATCTGGATAGGATTTAAAAAATTTTTTTGAGTACTGTTCCTAATAGGATTCTAAAAACAAACCTAATTTCAATTGTTTTTTTCTATACTTTGATATAGTAATATAATGTTTTAGAGGTCCTTTTTTAGAACCTTATCAAGAATATCTTATAATAATACAATATGACATGTTTTTTATTTAAATAAATACTCTTATAAATAATGAAATTAAATAATTTTATTAAAGAGAAACTAGAAATTGAGTCAGATATCAAGTAAAAATATACAAACTTTTTGAAAATCCTGTATAATTTAAAATTATCTATTACTTGTCTTGGTCTTAAAATGTATTTTAACTTTAAATTTTAATAAAAATTATATTTAGTAATGAATATCACTAATAGTAAGTAGTAATTTTCTTATTAAAAATATTTTTATTTAAACCATTTTTATTATTAAAAAAATTTAAATATTTAAAAAGAACTAGTTTTTAGCAAACGATATCAAAAAATCTGATCAATATATAAAAATTTAAAAGACCTAAACCTTAAATAAGGTTTTTTTAGCATATAACAATTTCAAAAACTATATCTAAATAATTTTTTAGCACACAATAAGTTAAAAAACCCATACCTAACTAAAGTTTTTTCTAGTACACAACAATTTAAAAGATATACACCTCAATAAAGTTCTTCATAATACAACAATTTAAAAAACCTACAATTAAATAAAGCTTTTTTTTTAGATTACAGCAATTTAAAATATTCGCATTTAAATAAAGTTCTTATTAGCATACAGCAATTCAAAAACCAAGTCTAAATAAAGTTCTTTCTAGCACAATGATTTATGACACATCTGTTTGTACAATAATAACATGAAATTTATATAAACCAATAAAAATAACCTTGTCAAGAAAGTATGGATTGTAAGGTAGCAATAGTGTTACTATCAAATGAAAGTTTAACTTTAATGGTTAATATAAGAGAGATGTGGTGCATGATGATGAATTAAAGAATTCAGATTTTACATGATTAGTAGACATTTATTATATAAAAAAATGTAGGTTTATATATTTTTTATTTAGAGATGGTTTCAGAGAGCATTTTTCTCTTTGAGCTAATAGCAAGTTCAACCCTTTAAATACACTCTAATTTCTTATAAGGTCTATGCTAAGTATATAGGATCTATGTTATAACTCTGAATTCCATATGCTTTTTCATGACAACTCATTCTATCAGATTTATGCAAGAGCATATATGTAACTAGGGGAAATTTATATAAGTTAAGCCATTAAGAAGAAATAAGAATGCCTAATGCTATAAAAGTATGAGTAACACCACTATAATGTTACATTTATGAAAGGTATGTGACAACTTAATGTTAATAAATTAGACAAATACTAAAGTAATAAACACAGAAAAAATTATTCATTACAATATGTAGTATCTATAAAGATAATCATTTTTAGTAAATTTAGATATTATGTTACTGAATAATACTGAATAACATAGAACTAACACACAATGATATTGCACAAAATCAGGAACATAAATTTATGAATGAGTCAGATATTGTTTATATAGTACAAAAGCTTTTCTAGACTGATCCTAATAATTGGTTAAAATTAACATATTAAATTTATAAGTTACTAGTATGTTTGGGCCATTGTATTTTTTTTTTTTTTTTTTTTAAGAAAGGTCTTTTCTCTAGTTCTTTATTTCAGTAATATATAATTAAGTATAACTAGTACAAATTGATATATTAAACTAAGGAAGTAGAGGTTAAAGCTACTTTACCCTCAACCTATTCTTAGCTAGAATGGTTAAGAGATCTCTAGTCTATAGATTGAATAATAGAAGATGTTTGGTTTAAATATATAAATCTATTAAGCTATAAAGCATATTGTCTATTTATTAATGTTAGTAATGTATGATCTGAGTTAGTGATAGTAATAGTTGGTGCATATGAAATCTGTTGTTAAACATATGTTCTATTCAGTTTCTATATATATTTGTGTATCTTTTTTGTAATTCAGTAATAGATATTTGGTAGTAAGTTCTTTTTTAGTGAATCTAGTTCGAGTAAATTATTTGTTACAATTCTAATCAGAATTTGTTGATCTATATAAATGTTTTGTATTTCTTGAGCTAGATTTGTTGATATTGTTGTTTTGATTTCATTATCTTTGTAGACTTTTGTTATTGCTTCTTTTATTATTTCTTTCAATTCTATTTGATTATATGAGCAGGTAAGCATATAAATTGTGTCTTTTAGTATGTTTGGACACTTTGCACAGTATGGGTTGATATGAGTTTTTGGGTTTCTTTTATGAAGGTTAAGATGTGTTGGTAATTCTGAAGTTAGAATTTTGATTTGAAATGTTTTTAAAGCAGATTTTGTAGAATCAGTATCTTGGCTAAGAGGTTTGTTTTTGAAGTTGAGATATTCAAATATAAGTTTTCAATTGATGTTCAGAAGATTGTCAGAAATATGTTTGATGTGTTTCTGATTATTCTATATAATGATTGCTTCTACTTATTGTAAAGTTTTAGGTATTTGGTAAATAGTATAAGTAGTTGGTGTATTTATTATAAAGAGGGTAAAAGTAGTGTTTAGTACTATATTGGGTAGCAGGTCTATATGAAATTGACAAAAAACATTTTTTATACTGATTTTTTCTTCTGTTAGGTTGATTTTAATCTTTAAATTTTTTGCATTAATTATAGTATTAAGAAGAATAGTAATATTGTTAAAAGGAGTTTTTCTTAGTTTATGTTTCTGTTCTGATAACATTAAAAGCATTGTTGAAATTTTGTTGGAAATGTTGCTTTTATTAGTTAATATTTAAATATTCAGTTCTTTTGTTATTACTATAAGGATTATTGCAAGCATTATAAACATTGCATAATCTGAGAAAGGAAAGGTTTGGTTGGTGCAATGCCATGCATAGTTATTATATTAAAATGATAATTGAGTATAAGGAGTATTGTATCTATTTATTTTTTTAAACAAAGTTATAAGTTTAAGATTTAGTTCTTTTGGGAATAAACTTGTTATATATAATTTCCATATTTCTTCTTGGTTATTTGCAAAGGTTTGTAGAAGTCAATAGTTGGTTTGATATTTTGAAGTTGAAAGTAAATACTTGTAATATTGTTTAGATTGTATAGTTGTTTGATAAGAGCATAAACAATTAAGGTTTGCATAAATTTATTTGTGACAATCAACTTGAATTTTGAAGGTTTGGTATATAGAATTAGTAAAGTAGCAATGAGTTGTTTTAAATTTTGGATTTTTGATTTGACATCCAAGACATGGTATTAGTTGGTGATTGTTTAATAGATAAGTGTTGTAATGTTTGATTTTGGCTTGATTATTAATGATACTTGTTAATTTTCCAAATTGTTATGATTTTGTAATTATTCATTGTGAAGTCATAGTGTTAATTTTTATAAAGATGTATAGGTTGGAATAGTTTAGTGTTGTAGATAGATTTGTTAGTGAAGTTATATGGTTGTGATTGCTTTGAACCATTTTGAAGTTTGTCTCTTGGTATTTTTTGTATATTATGATGAAAAGATATCCAATCTAGAATATTGTCAGAGGTAAAACCAACATCTCATGGAACCTGTGAAATGGATGTCATTGTGGTATACTTACCTAATTAGAGTTTCTCATGACAATCCATCTGAAACATGTGTATCTGGCCCCAAAAAAAGCTATATAGAAGTACACAAGCCTCTATGTGAGACTCTACTACCTTTTTTAATTAAAATAAGATTGATCTAAACCAATCTGTTGCACTGTGAATGGATGTTGACTTTACCTGTCTTATTTGGGTTAGATGTAAGGTGATGTCAAGAGGAGTGTGATTAAAAACAATATGATGGGTTCTGGCCCCAGGATTGAAAAACTAAAACATTCCTTATTGGTACTATAAAAACTATAAGAAATATTAAAGTAATAAAAGGCTGTATAGAAGGGGGTTAAAGGTTATAACAAATAAGGTTGAAAAGTGTAGAGAATAATGAGGAAAATCATAGTCTTGTACGGGCTTTTTTTATAGTAAAATTCATTATAAAAAGAGTAGAATTTCCCTTCCAAAAGATGTCTCAGCATAGTCCAGAGTAGTTCAGAGAAGTTCAGCATAGTTCAATATAATTTGAATAACTCCTAATAATATACTTGTACTGCCTTTACAAAAAAATTAATAAAATTATTAATAAAGACCTCTTTGAATCACCAATACAATAATGCTCTTTAAAATTATAATGCTCATCTTGTAGCACTTCTTAAATGATCGCCTTGACCTTGTGCCAAATCATTAAACCACCTCTATTATCTTTGAGGAACATTACATGGCATAACCATTTTTTTAGTGACAATTTATTGTATTTGCTCCTATCTCTAAACTCGACATATTATCTGTTACAACATTGTAGTTTGAGTAGTCAAGAAATTGTTCAATACAAGTTATGTTGTGGTTGTTTAATTTTTCTTTGATTGTATATAGTTGTTTCATTGATTAAAGAATTTGATTAATAGATATGCTCTTTGTTTGTTTGGGAATAGGCCATAGGTTGGTTGTATGTTCTAG